TTGGAAATGGCCCATAGGTCCAAATCAAGGTGATCGCCCAATTATCCACACGCAGCCCTTCCCAGTGATGACATTACAATAAAATACAAATGATACGGTCGCAGTGATCTTATCTTGCACCGCTGGCAGAAGTGACAGTGGAGTGACGAGAGTGAGACATAACAAAAAAAGGTTACTCTATGTGTGAATCTATGAAAAAAATGAGAGAGGACTTTTTTTTCCAAAAAAAGAGAGAGAGTGTGTGTGTGAGAGAAAGAGAGAGAGTGTGTGTGTGAGAGAGAGAGAGAGTGGGGGGGGGGGGCGTTGCACTCGCTTTGAGGCAGGTTGTTGGTCCAGAGATCCACCTGCAGGTGTCATAACGTTTAATTGCATCATGGGTAACTGTCCACATCATCAGCTGGGACTGACGCCTCTGACCTTCCTCCTAAAGACCCAAACGGGAGCAGAACCTTCTCTTTAAATGAGGCGCCGAGGTCTATAAGCTGGCTGCTCATGAAGCAGCGTGGTGCCGTCGCTCCGTCGTGGCTGACTGGTAAACAGCGTTTGGCCTTTACAGCAAGCAGTGACCCGCACACACACGCAGGTCATCCACAAACTGACCTGTTCCTGTGAAGGTTGCATAAAGGGACTCGATCTCCGAGTTCATTCAGTCTTACAAAGAGCTTCTCAATTGCTTGTCCGTCTGTGTAAGTAAAGATAAACGTTCCTAGTCCACTGTGTTTGTGCTCCAGAGGTCCCATGTTATGCTCCTATTTATAGCCCTGCGGTTATTCTGCTGGGGGGTCCCGGGGGGGTTGCGGGGCGCATAGTAACAGATTGAGTTAGCTCATCGCCTCGTGTGCTGCCTTTTAGAGACCTGAAGGTGCAGCTGATGTTTTATGGTCAGCGCTGGCGTCGGGCTCAATGTCTCCTGTGGAACTTGTTTTCTTTACGTGCTCCGTGGCTCCGTCCTCTCATCCATCGGCGTCTCGTAAAGGAAGGGATGAAATGTGACGCTCGTGTTTGTGCTTTGACAACATGTTTGTGATCCTCAGCACGAACACGTTGATCCGAGTCAACGTTGTCACACTTGACCTCACTACACTTTATTCATATTTGTGCTCACAGGCTCAGTCATAGTTTAAGATAGCAGGTCTAAACATCTGTATTATTCTGCTTGAATGCTTCCCACATGGAACATCATGATTTCTTCTCGTACTCGGCTTGTTAAGAAACAAACACACCGATTCAGTTTCAGTTTCCTTCAACACATCGGAGACGTTTCTATTTGCATGTTTTCCTTCCTCCTACTGATCCAACTGCTGAAGCAGCAGGTTGGCTGATACCCGTGTGGGGAAATGAAACACCTGTATACAGCTGTGGCTGTGATGCACACAGAGAAGGACCACTTTCATCATCTAGTTCCGCAGACTCCACTCTGACCAAACAGCTGACATTCTGCTCGCTCCTTAACCTCCTCCTCCGTATTGTACGCGGCGCGTCGGGTAGCGCTGCTTCCCCGTGAACACCAGCTGATGAGTGGGTCGATACCCCATCCAGCCTTTAGGGATCCGTGAGGATTCATTTGGGGAGGAACCCGGGGACGATGGCGGGGGAGAGAGGACTCCCCCGTCTGACTTTGGACCCGTCCTAAATCACAGGCGGTAACTGGTGTCTCGTGTTGGTCCTCATTCCTCCAGCGGAGCAACGACGAGAACGGGAACTGCTCGGGGGAAAGCATGGAGTTCCCCACCACCAACCTGTACGAGCTGGAGAGCCGGGTCTTCACCGACCACTGGTCCATTCCGTACAAGAGGGAGGAGTCCCTGGGGAAGTGTCTCATCGCGTCCACCTGCCTGGCCCGCCACGGTAAGAGGGGCGGGTGTCACATCTGTGTCTCCTCAGTCTCCTCTGTGTCGTTCACTTCATCTCCCCCCCCCGTGTCTGCATCTGAGATGAATGTGAATCCAACTTCTCCGTCAGGTCTCGCTGACGCCGACGAGAACTGCAAGCGCTTCACGGACCGCTGCATGCCGGAGGCCTTCAAGAAGGTGAGCCGCTCGGGGGCCTCTGCTGCCAGCGCCCGACTCGCACGCGTCTCTCCTCACTGTCCTCGTTCTCCTCCTCCAGCTGCTGACCAGCAGCGCCGTGCACAAGTGGGGCACCGAGATCCACGAGGGCATCTACAACATGCTGATGCTGCTGGTGGAGCTGGTGGCGGAGCGGGTGAAGCAAGACCCGGTGCCTGTGAACCTGATGGGAGTCCTGACTACGGTGAGATCTGTCCCTCTGTCTGTCTCTCGTAACGTTTGTCCTTTTAATGACATTATAAAGTCTCTTAAATCTCCTAAAATAAAAAATCCGTAATAAAACCCATTCATTAAAACGATCAGTGGGTAATTATTGTGTTCCAGAGGATTCGGTCCATTGCTTTAAATGTCCTCCACACGTCCACGTGCACCCCGTGGTTCTCTACGCGTGTGGCTTCATGTTCCTCGTTGTTTTTGTGTCCAGGCCTTCAACCCGGATAACGAGTACCACTTTAAGAACCGCATGAAGGCCTGTCAGAGGAACTGGGCCGAGGTGTTTGGAGAGGAGGCCAACATGTTCGCCGTCTCCCCGAGCAACGCCTATCAGAAAGTAAGAGAGTCCCCCGATTCCCCCCGACGCTCTTTCAGGGTGTGTGTGTGTGTGTGTGTGTGTGTGTGTGTGTGTGTATGTGTGTGTGTGTGTGTGTCAATGCGCATGAACCCACTGAAACGTGCTTCTGTCCTGCAGGAGCCTCACGGCTGGCTGGTGGATCTGGTGAACCGAGTGAGTAACCCGCCACGTGCGTTTGTCTCCTCTCTGCACTGAAGCCACGCGTCTCCTTATTTTATCTTTTTCTTTTTCTCGTGACCAAGTTCGGGGAGCTGGGAGGATTCACGGCCATCCAGGAGAAGCTCAACGCGGACGAAATCGAGATCGCTGTAAGAGAACACCCCCCCCCCCCCACACACACACACTCTCACCCTCTTTCATCGTCCTTCTGTGTGATGCTTTAAATGCTCGCTTGTGTTGCCTGTTCTGAGGCGTCCTTGTGCTGATGCGTCCTTCTGGGAACCTGAGCGGAACCACGGTTCTGCACAGCCATTGATTCCCAGAAGCGGAGATGGAAGTTAGCCAGGAAAAGAAACGGGAACCATTCATTAAGATGCTGTGATTTAGAACCCAATGACAGTTGACAGCTGGCCCGCACATCTGTTACCAGTCACATGCACCAGTGGGAAGCGCGCCGCATGTGAGAAGTGGGCGGAGTCAGTCGGACGTCACTCGTTGGTTCAGACAGATGTTTGGAAGCTTCGATTTGGTCGTCGCACAACTTGTTTTCGTGCGACCATCGAACAGGAAGCGACCACATAAGGACTGGGGAGGACGCAGAGACGCCGTACGCCGTCTGCTGGTCACTGATGCAGCTTTAACTTGACTTTGATGAACCGGAGTTTGCTGCCCGGTTAGAACACAGCGCCAGTTGGAACGCAGCGTGACCTGTGACCTCCACGCGTTAGTCTTTAGCCAGCCACCGATGCATCACACCCTCACGAAGAAGACATCTGTTGACAGTTGACTGTGTCTCCACAGTGTGTGTCGGCTCTGGTTCAGCCCCTCGGAGTCGCTGCTGAATATCTGAACTCCAGCCTCGTCCAGGTGAGCGATGACCTGCAGTTACTGCGTGTGCTCTTCTCTCTAGTGAAGCTCTCGTTACTGGTCCACGTCTTCTCTTTGTGTGACCCCATTCACATCCATTTTCTGTTCATCTTTTTTGATGTCATGGAAAAAGTCAAAGTAAATTAGGACGAATTCTTCTTGAATAAAAAGTCCAAAAATGTTCTGGAAATGTTTGGTCAAAAATGTGACAAAAAAGATATTTTGAAAAAAAGTCAAAATATGTGTAAAAATATGGAAATATGTCAAAATTAAAAAAAAAATATCCAGAGAATAGTAAGTTGAGAACTGTTTTTTAAAAGTCAATAAGTCAGATTGTAAAAAATCCCAAATATGTTGTGTCGTAAAATGTTTTGAGAAAAAATCAAAATTGTCATGGGAAAAAAAGTCTAAATATTTATGGTGAGAGATTGAGACCTTCTCTTTTCTAACGAAGTCTCACTGGTTCCTCAGCCCATGCTTGACCCCGTTATCCACAAGATGATCACATACGTGCAGAACCTGGAGGAAAAGGACCTCAAAGACAAGGTAGTGACTCGTTCACTGTTAACTAACCCTCATGGAGCAACAGCCAGTTTGATGGAGATTTTTTCCCGTTAATATCAATATTAGATTTACAAGCAAACGGCTAATACGCTTGTACACAGTAGTGAGTCGTCTCGGATGTACTTTCTATCTCCGGAGGTCTCTCCTGACAAGAGAAGAAAGAAGCTTGTAAAGCTGTTTAACCGTCTTTCTGTCTGCGCTGCTCCTCAGCGGCTGGTGAGCATCCCGGACCTGCTGTCGGCCATCAAGCTGCTGTGCATGCGCTTCCAGAGGGAGCTGGTCACCGTGGTGGACGACCTCCGGCTGGACACCCTGCTGAGGATGCTCAAAACGCCCCACTTCTCCACCAAGATGAACTCCCTCAAAGAGGTCGGCTCTCGCGGGGGGGTCCCGGCTTTGGCAGCTAATCTCGTCCTCCTCTCTGGCCCCCGGGAGCTCTAATGAGTGTCGCCGTCTCCTCAGGTGACAAAGCTGATCGAGGAGAGCACGGTGTCGAAGACGGTGAAGAACGCCATCGACACGGATAAGCTCCTGGACTGGCTGGTGGAGAACTCGGTCCTGTCAATAGCACTGGAGGGTGAGGAGCATCACGTCCTGCCTCTGCAGGTGTAAAGCCAGGAGGTGTTGGTACTCAGGGGGGGTCTTTGAATGTTCTCCCAGGTAACATCGACCAGGCTCAGTACTGCGAGCGGATCAAAGGAATCATCGAGCTGCTGGGCAGCAAACTGTCGCTGGACGAGCTCTCCAAGATCTGGAAGATCCAGGTCAGCCGTTACAGCGCACAAACAATCCATCCGACAAACGTTTAAAACCCGCTCGTGCTGAATCGATGGACTCTTTGCAGGCGGGCCAGTCGTCCACTGTGATAGAAAACATCCACACCATCGTCGCTGCTGCCGCCGTCAAGTTCAGCTTCGACCAGCTCACCCACCTCTTCGTCCTCATCCAGAAGGTCGGTCGCCTCGTGGCGTTTAGGGAGTAAGTAGCTGAAGTCGTGTGACGAGTAAAAGCATCGCTCTCTTCCCCCCCGTGTGGTGCAGAGCTGGGAGGTGGAGAGCGACCGCGTGAGGCAGAAGCTGCTCAGCCTGATCGGGAGGATCGGCAGGGAGGCTCGCTCTGAAACCACCACGGGAAAGGTCAGCAGGGGGGTCGCGCTGCTTCAACCACGAGGAGACTCTCCCTCTGTGTCTCATTCTGTCCTCCTCCCTCGGACAAGTAAGTACAGCGTCTGTCTCTGGGGTCCCTGCAGGTGCTGGAGGTGCTGTGGGATCTGGCCCACCTCCCCAGTCTGCCCACCAGCCTGGTCCAGCAGGCGCTGGAGGAGCACCTGGGCATCCTGAGCGACGCCTACGCCGTCAAGGAGGCGGTGAAGCGCGGCTACATCATCAAATGCATCGAGGACATCAAGAAGGTGAGACGTGCTGCTCGGCGTCTTGTTCTGCGTCGCGCTGCTCCAGGATCAGCTCAGGAGAGCAAACGGGTTTCATTATTTAGTTCCTTCTTGTGCCGCTTGATTGGTTTTAAATGAAACTATTCAGGCCCAAATTAAGTCCTTCTAATTAGCTAATATTTCTAAATAGTCAGTTACATAATAAACCTCCTGTCCCAACATAATGAGTTAGTAACCCATGAGAATGACACAAGGAGTCCTTATTTTTAGATAATTCACCACTTTGAGATCAGCGGGAGATCGTGTGAGTCTCTGGTGGCTCTCCATGGAGCTCCTGCGTTCCTCTGCTGCTGCGACGCGTCTCTCCCGAAGTCGCCGTGTCCCCGTTAACTTGAGTTTGTCCGCGTCGCTCCTGAGTCGCCCTGAATTCACCTCAAAGCTCCTCTAACCCCTCTGACCTCCGCGCGGATGCCGGTGGTCCTCCACGGTGGCATGAAGACGGGATTCAGTGCACACAGTGACGCCTCGGCTCTTTCCCCGTTATTCATTCAGCATTTGTAAGCAACACACGAGCTTTTCATGCACTTAGTGATTACTTGTGTACAATAACAACTCCCCGTTAACAATGAGAGAGGAGTCCTGGGAGCAGCGAGGGTGTAAACGCGTGTTTGTATTGTGTTTGCATGGAGGAAGCCGTGTGTGTCCAGTCAAACCAACGTGTATGTTTCTAGACTCACTCTCAGGAGGACGCTGGAGGCAGCGACTCTCAGAGCTCTTTTCTTGCTGCCACTTGGGGCAAGAAGAAAGGGAACTCTGTGGCCAAAGTAAGAGAACCAGCCGCGTGCTTCCCCCCAATGAACCGTCTGCACCAACCAATCAGGAGCAGCTCCACCACAAAGGGGCTTTTTTCGTTGGTCACGGCTTGATGATTTGTCACCTGGGTGTAACGGGCGCCGTGTGTCAATCCTCTGCTTGCTGAACGGGGACACCGGGGGGGTGATGGCCGCGTCCAATGAGTGATTTTGGCTTTGGTGGAAGTGGGAGCACATTTACTCTCATGAGGAGTCCAATCAGAGCCTGGGATTCACAGAGTAATTCATCTAGACTTTAAAGGTTTTACTTCATTGTATTTTAACAGGATAAGACAAGAAGCTCATACAAACATCTGAGCTCTCACCAGTGATTTACATCCCAGCCTCTGGTTTTCCTTCCTCATGTTAACACGACTACACCGTGGATGGGTTACAAAGTGTGTGTGTGTGTGTGTGTGTGTGTGTGTGTGTGTGTGTGTGTGTGTGTGTGTGTGTGTGTGTGCGTGCAGGCCTCTCAGCAGAGCAGTCCTCAGGCGGTCTGGGTGGTTCCTGCTCTCCGTCAGCTGCACGAGATCACGCGTTCCTTCATCAAGCAGACCTATCAGAAGCAAGACAAGGTGACTCTCCCAGCGAGCAGAAGAGCTAACGCACCGTCGCAAACCCAACGTAACCCCGGTAACGCTTTTTTTTTTTTTTTTTTTAAACCCACCTCAGAGCATCATCCAGGACCTGAAGAAGAACTTTGAGATCGTGAAGCTGATCACGGGCTCCCTGGTGTGCTGCCATCGGCTGGCCGTGACCGCGGCGGGAACCAACGGCCTCTCTGGCTCCACCCTGGTGGACGGGCGCTACACCTACCAGGAGGTCTGTCCCCGCTCCGTCCTCTCGGGTGCTCTCTGTAAAAGCCGTGATTCCATCCGTTAGATTGTGTTGTTCTGAATACATTCAGTTAATCTCACGTCGGTTCTTCAGAACATTGTTCTGGTCTGTTTCTGTTAACTTCTACTGTAGTAGAACCTGATACTGTCCCTCTAAAGGGAATCAGGACTATACATTTTAAGTTAAATCCTGTGTATTTTTGAATCCTCCTCCTGTTCTCTGTCTGGTTTGTGTCTCATCCACCTGCAGTACCTGGACAGCCACCTGCGCTTCCTGGCCTTCTTCCTGCAGGAGGCCAGCCTCTACCTGCTGTGGAACCGGGCCAAGGAGCTGTGGGAGTGCCTGGTCTCCGGGCCGGACGTCTGCGAGCTCGACCGCGAGGTACGAGAACAACAGCGAGCACCTCTGCAGGAACACGAAACCACCGTTAACAAATGGAAGCTTTATTATTCACTTGTGGATTTTCCATTAAAGGAACTTTTCACTGCCGGCTTAATTCAGTCAATTCATCAATGAATCGCTCTCAGGTCACGAGGACGACTGGATGCTCATTTATAAATGTTTTAGCATTTATTCAAGCAATAAGGTACGAGAGGCTCTACTTTATCGTCCATTCAGGGGGGTTGTTTGAGCAGCAGTATGAGCCACCAAACGTTGTGTAGAACGTAGATCCCTCCAGAGAAAAGTAGATCCCGTACGTGCAGTAAACCGCATCGGGTCTCCTTGCAAGATCTCGCACCATCTCATTCATTCACATCGCTCATGACGTCCACCTGAATTCTCTGGTTGTGAAAGCTCTCGTTGCCCGTAACCGATCAAACCGATCATTTGTGGGATTTCCTGTCCTCTTTGGGCGATCGCCACCGAGCTAAACGCTGACCTGTTACTTTGAGTGCGCAGTGATGTGGAACTGTACATTATCGCTGAATAGTGCACCGTGACTCACTGTCAACCAATCAGAACGCTACATGTCATCGACCCGCATTGTCCATCTGGTGTCATTTACCAGCGTACTGTCCCTTTAAGGCGTGAGGTCATCAGTTTAAAAGCAGAACTGACCTCTGACAGATTCAGCTCTGTAAAGGTGTGTGTGTGTGTGTGTGTGTGTGTGTGTGTGTGTGTGTGTGTGTGTGTGTGTGTGTGTGTGTGTGTGTGTGTGTGTGTGTGTGTGTGTGTGTGTGCAGATGTGTTTTGAGTGGTTCACCAAAGGACAACACGACCTGGAGAGCGACGTCCAGCAGCAGCTCTTCAAGGAGAAGATCCTGAAGCTGGAGCCCTACGAGATCACCATGAACGGTGAGCGCCTGGTGGAGGAACTCCGTCACCTCCGCTCTGCCCGCCTGTATCTGACCCCCCCCCACCCTCTTCTTTATGTGACCCCCCAGGCTTCAATCTGTTCAAGACCTTCTTTGAGAACGTTAATCTGTGCGACCATCGCCTCAAGCGCCAGGGAACCCAGCTGGTCAGCCCCGCCCCCCCCTCCAAGTTACGCACAGGTAAACGGTTTCTGCTTTAGTTGACGGCGCGTTGTGCTTTCAGTGCGTGGAGCGCCTCGACCTGGCGGGGATGGATTTTATCTGGCGCATCGCTATGGAAACCCCCGATGAAGAGATAGCCAACGAGGCGATCCAGCTCATCATCACATACAGCTACACCAACCTCAACCCCAAGATGAAGAAGGTGCGTTCATAACCCGCCAGAGCTCTCAGGCGGGATCTTTGCCCCTTCAGTCAGAAACAGTGATCTCAGATGACGGCGTTTGCGTTTGTCACAGTTAGTTTGTGATCGCGGGGACTCGTTATGTCACAGAGGAACCGTCTGCAGCGATCGCTGACGCCTTCATTCTCTCTTCCCCTCAGGACTCCGTCTCTTTGCACAAGAAGTTCATCGCCGATTGTTACAAGCGACTCGAGGTGAGTCGACCGCTGCCGTGAGGAGAGTTTCCTCCTCCCCCTTCACCCCGAGGGCTTGCTCCCGTCTCACCCGCTACACCCCCCCCCCCTCCCCAGGCGGCCAGCTCGGCCCTCGGCGGACCCACTCTGACGCACGCCGTTACCCGGGCAACCAAGATGCTGACTGCCACCGCCATGCCGACGGTGGCCACGTCTGTGCAGTCACCATCCAGGTACAGAGGGGGGTTTGGGTAAGAGCAGAGCTACTAACCCTCCTACAGCACGATGCTGCAGAGCACAAAGAAGAAACTCTCCATGGAGCTGAAACCTGCGTGCGTCTGCGTGCGTCTGTGTGCGTCTGTGTGCGTCTGTGTGCGTCTGTGTGCGTCTGTGTGTGTCTGTGTGTGTGTGTGTGTGTGTGTGTGTAGATCCACCAAGCTGGTGATCATCGAGAGACTGCTGCTGCTGGCTGAGCGCTACGTCCTCACCATCGAGGTAGGCCTCGTCGTCTTCACCTTTAACCTCTTTCAGTGCGTATCGAACACCTCGTGCACGGCTGTACACTTATTTATTTATTAATTAATTTGATCAATCGCACACTCCAGTAATCAGATGTCTTTAATTAACACTTTAGCCCAAACACAGACCCCCAAACCCTTAAGGATTAATTGCTATTTATGTTGCACCTTTCAGCAACAAAGGGAACAAACTCCTTTGAAGTACAGTTAGAAACAAGTTAATGGCAAATAAAGGTAAAGCTGAAATAAATGAAGAAAGAGAACCTGCAGGTTTCATTGATTCCACTACAGAAATATGCCTCCAATCTAATATGATGACGTTGATCAAACGTTTAATATCCTTATGTTAACAAACTGGCATTTAAAGTTAAACTTTCTGAAAATGAATGAATCTTTATCATCATCATCAACACTTGAAATGAGTACTAAAGTGGATGATGTTAATATTTTATCAGAGCATCATTTAACATCAATCATGTGTGTAGTTGAGGCTAAACGCTCCTGGTTTGTGTGTTTAATGTCTGCTGTTTGTCTCTTCGTAGGACTTGTACTCGGTCCCTCGCACTATTCTACCTCACGGGGCCTCGTTCAACGGACACCCCGTCACCCTGCACGTCACCTACGAGTCAACCAAAGACACCTTCACCTTAGAGGTACGTGGGACTGACCCGTCACCTGGGCTCCACCTGCAGAGGCCCTGACGTGTGTGTGTGTGTGTGTGTGTGTGTGTGTGTGCGTGCAGACCCACAGTAATGAGACCATAGCGAGCATCCGCTGGAAGATATCGGAGCACCTGAGCTGTCCGGTGGACAACGTCCAGATCTTTGCCAATGACAGCGTGGTCAGTGTTCATCCCTCTTGTTTTAAAATAATACTAATATTGTAGAATAATAAAAGCCTTTTACATTACAAGCCATCGCTCAGTGCACTGATGGCTTCTTTAGGCTCCGCCTCCTCAACCGTGCTCCCAGTATGTCCCCTCACTGCCTCCCCCCCCCCTTCCAGTTGACCATGAACCGGGACCAGAAGCTGCTCTCCCAGCTGGGCTTCAGCGACGAGCAGACCCTGACCGTGAAGAGCTCGGGCACCGGCACTCCCTCCGGCAGCTCCGAGTCCTCGGCGTCGGCCTCCAGCAGCTCCAGCTCCGCCGTCTTCAACTCGGCCTACGCGCTGGAGCAGGTAGCCAGAAACCCGCAGCGAGGTCCACGCGCGTCCAGGGCGCCCGTTCCGGTTCTCACGCGTGCTTCTGTCCGCAGGAGAAGTCTCTGCCCGGAGTGGTGATGGCTTTGGTGTGCAACGTGTTTGAGATGCTCTACCAGCTGGCTAACCTCGACGAGACCAGGTGAGCCGCTCTCAGCCGGACCCCCAACGGAGGTCCCACTCATTCTGTTGCTCTTTCAATCCTTCAACCCAGAGTGTGTGATCGCTGGAGAGACGGTTTTGATTTGGATGAAGTGTTTTATTCATAAACCGGGATGTTGGTGACTGAAGAGCAACGAGAACATGAAGGACAGCACCTCCTCACTGGGCTCCTTGGGTTTGTGCTCATCAGGATCACCCTCCGCGTGAGGAAGCTGCTGCTGCTGATCCCAACAGATCCTGAAGTGCAGGACGCGCTCGACAACTTCGTTCCCAAAGAATCCAGCGTCTGGAGCCACCAGGTACGTCTCCGCTCGGTGGGATTCTGTCTGTAGGTCCTCTTCTTCTAACCGCCCGTTCTCTGCAGAAGACACTGTTCCAGGCCACAGGCTCTCGTTCCCCGTCCATGTCCTCCAAGCAGCAGCACCAGCCAAGTGCTGCCTCCATCCTGGAGTCCCTCTTCAGGTCCTCGGCCCCGGGCATGTCCACCTTCAGAGTGCTGTACAACCTGGAGGTACACACACACACACACACACACACACCCCCGTTAGAGGTGCATGTGGAGGCGTGACCGTTACCTCATACGGGCCCTTCCTGTGGATCCATAAGATCTGATCCCTGTGCGTGTTTCTGAGGGCCTCGGACCCACAACGGGCTTTTGAGGGGATTCTGCTCAGTTCCTCAGTGTTCTTCTCCACAGACTCTTTGTGACTTTGAACTGTTCCTCTTCTCGCCAGAATAAAACGCGTTAAAATCATCCAGAATTTCCCCATCTTCGTCTCTACGATCTCCTCCGCTGGAAGGGGAACATTTACCACACTGACATCCGCTTCCCTCCTCCTCCTCCTCCTCCTCCTCCTCCTCCTCCTCCTCTCTCTCTGCTTCAGGTGCTGAGCTCGAAGCTCATGCCCACGTCGGACGATGAGATGGCGAAAACCAGCAGCAAGTCGTTCTGTGAGAACTTCCTCAAAGCCGGAGGCCTCAGGTAAAGACCTCAGTGTGATATTACCACATAGTCTTATATATATATATATATATATACATATATATATATATATATATATATATATAAATAAGAATCATAGCTCTCCATCAGTAGATTTTATTTTTTTGTTTAAAAAAATGAAGCATTCTCTTGTTGAGCCTCAGGTGGTTCTTATTGGTTCTTATGGTGCTGATCATTGTCCTCCATGAAGAGAGACAAGAAGAGAAATGGGGGATGTGGATATTTCAAGCTTAATGCACATATAAATAATTGGGATTGTTCACACATCAACTAACATTTGTTAAAAAATTCATCAACTTTGACTGAATTTATTCTGTCAATATATTATTTGGGCTTATTGACAGATGCAAACTGTGTATATGTGAACTCCCCTGTAATGGGAGGATGCTACGCTTTGGTCTGACGGACAGCTGTCAGGTCATTCATTCAGAGAGAACGTCTACTCACAGATGTTGAGTCTCGTGGCGTCTCATCAGGCTCCGGTAGAAGTCAGCAGGGAGAGAAGCTGATGCGGATTCTTCAGAGAATCATCACACCTCTTCTTTTGCATCCATTGAAAACAGTGTGATTTTTCCTTCTCAATGAAAAGTCTTGTAAGCGCTGACTGAATTCTTCTCCCATCTTAGCAGAGCGCTTGCTATTTGGAAGCGTGGACTACAGTGAAGATTCACAGTTTTAACTCTCATGCAGTGCTTGATGTGCGCATACAGCTGATACCAGCTGCTGGAGATCATGAGTGAGATCAACTTAAAAAGCCACGTCTGCCACCATAAAGGCTCCGTGATCTCATGGACACGTCTTCCCTTTTCTCTCCAAAAGTGTCGATATTTGATCTCAGGGAATAAAACCCGCTGAGCCGGCGCACCTCAGGACGCGGAGCAGGTCCCACATGCAGCAGCTTGGAGTTCTGTGTAAAGCCCTCGTACCCGAGTTATTCTGACCGTTTGCACAACTGTGTTCAACTAGGACGTGCAATACAGTGGAAATGGTCCCCTGATACGGGACACCCTCGTATTGGACCATTCATTTTTCGGTCTTGCATCAACTTAACAGCACCGTGAAACAACAGTGATGCTGTGAATAATGTGACGGAGTCAAAGCCTCAAGAGAAGCTCTCGTGTGAGAATGCTGTCTTTCCTCTGCAGTCTGGTGGTGAATGTGATGCAGAGAGACTCCATCCCCTCTGAGGTCGACTACGAGACCAGACAGGGAGTCTACTCCATCTGCCTTCAGCTGGCCAGGTAAGGGGGGGCGTGTTGGGGGAGGGGGGGAGGGAGGGAGGGGGACAGACATCTGGTTCACACACCTTGTTGTCTGCAGGTTCCTTCTGGTTGGCCAGAGCATGCCTTCGGTGCTGGACGATGATGTCATCAGGGACGGCGAGTCGCTGTCCTCCCGTCCGTTCCGTAACGCCGGGCGGGCGGGGCGACAGCTTTCTCTGTGCGGGACTCCGGAGAAATCGTCCTACAGGCAGATGTCTCTGTCCGAGCGCTCCTCCATCAGGGTGGAGGAGATCGTCCCGGCAGCCCGCGTCGCCATTCAGGTAAAAAACAAAAAAGGGGTACAAAAAAAAAGCCTGTTTCCAGGACGAAACGCGTTGTTTACAGTGCAGACGTTTTGTTCTCCAGACCATGGAGGTGGGCGACTTCACCTCCACCGTGGCCTGCTTCATGCGCCTCACCTGGGCCGCTGCAGCCGGCCGCTTGGACCTGGTCGGCAGCCCTCAGCCAATCAGAGAGAGCCACGGCTCCCTCCTGCCACAGGGGGTCCGAACCAGAGTCAGCAGTACAGGTGACCCGGGATACGCTCTTATTGTGGCGGGCTTCACTCGCTTGGTGGTTGGTTCATACATTTAATGACCCTGTGTTGTTTTTGTTGTTAGGGAGTAACTGCAGCTCCAGCAGTGAGGGGGAGAACACGCCAACAGCGCTGCATGCTGGGATATGTGTGAGACAGCAGTGCGTTTCCATCAAAGACACCATCATCGCCCGGGAAGCTCTGTCACTGCTGGTCACATGTCTGCAGCTACGCTGCCAGCAGCTGTGTAAGAAGATCACTGCACATCTGGCCTGTGCACAGGCACACTAGGGGAGGAGACTAGTGTGGAGGAGACTAGGGGACTGTAGGGGAGGAGACAAGGGGACTGTAGGGGAGGAGACAAGGGGACTGTAGGGGAGGAGACAAGGGGACTGTAGGGGAGGAGACGGTAGTGTCAGTGTAATCGTGTCCACTACATGGAGGTCTCTGTTTCTCTCTCCAGGTTCTTTTTACAACCTTCCCTCCGTCAACGATTTCATCATCGATGTTCTGCTGGGGTCTCCCAGCGGAGAGGTACGACCCCCCCTCACATTTAATACATGACCTCTAGCAGATTGAACTCCAACACGTCAGAATAGGTCAAAGGTTTAGTTCGTTGCGGTCTACGTTCACGCCTGCGTCCTCTGCAGATCCGCCGCGTGGCGTGTGACCAGCTCTACACGCTGAGCCAGACGGACACCTCGGCCTTCAACGAAGTCCAGAAGCCCAACTTGTTCCTCATCTCGGTGGTCCTCACCGCCCAGCTGCCGCTGTGGAGTCCTACTTCCATCATGAGAGGGGTCAACCAGAGGTACGCACGCACACGCAACCACACGCACACACATGACACGCCTTGTTGTGTTGATGAGACCTTTCCTCTCAGGTTGCTGTCCCAATGCACCGAGTACTTTGACCTGAGATGCCAGCTGCTGGACGACCTGACGAGTGAGCTTCCCTCTCAGCGACACCGAGATGACGTCCCAGAGGGTTCAGCAGATGGTAACGTTCTCTTCCTCTCACAGCCTCGGAGATGGAGGTGCTGAAGGTGAGCGCTGCCACCATGTTGGAGGACGAGATCTCCTGGCTCGACAACTTCGAGCCCAGCTGGAGCTCTGAGATGGAGACCAGCGAGGCGGACAACATCCTCCTGGCGGGACACCTGCGGCTCATCAAGACGCTGCTCTCCCTCTGCGGCAGCGACAAGGAGCACCTGGGTGAGAGTTAACGAAGGGTTTCGATTACCAGAAACCAAATAATAAAGAAAGAACACAATTACAAAATCAAAAACCAGAGCAAAACGAGACAAGGCGCAGCCGGCGTTCTAAACCCTCTCCTGTGATTTCTCGCTTTGTGAGCCTCCACCTGAACCTCTGGATGTGCGACTCTTCTCTGCAGGTGCATCTCTCATCCAGCAGCTGTTGGACGACTTCCTGTTTCGAGCCTCGCGCATCATCATCAACAGTTCGAACCCGACGCCGTCGCCGGCCCCCAGCCACGACTTCCACCCGAAGTACGACACGTCAGTCCCCCCCGCTGCTCCGCTACGACCGATTCTCCCTCCCGCGCATCGGACCGTCTGTATTAATGACGCTGTGTCGTGGTGCGTTCAGGTGCAGCACGGCCAGCAGCAGGCTGGCGGCCTACGAGGTGCTGGTGATGCTGGCCGACAGCTCGCTGTCCAACCTGCGGCTCATCACCAAAGAGCTCATGTCCATGCACCACCAGTCGGACCCGTCCCTCTGCAAGGAGTTCGACGTAAGCCTCCGCCGGAGCTCGCCATCCATGATATGTGCCGCTCTGATGGGGAAGACAAAGCGAGTCAAACTGTGTGTGTCTGTGTGTGTGTCCCTCAGTACCTCCCCCCCGTGGAGAGCCGGTCCGTCTCAGGCTTTGTGGGGTTGAAGAACGGCGGAGCCACGTGCTACATGAACGCTGTGTTTCAGCAGCTCTACATGCAGCCCGGCCTTCCAGAGGTACGAGCCGCTAGCTTCTGAGCCGCTAGCCTGTGAGCCGCTAGCCTGTGAGCCACTAGCCTGTGAGCCGCTAGCCTGTGAGCCGCTAGCCTGTGAGCCGCTAGCCTGTGAGCCGCTAGCCTGTGAGCCGCTAGCCTGTGAGCCGCTAGCCTGTGAGCCGCTAGCCTGTGAGCCGCTAGCCTGTGAGCCGCTAGCCTGTGAGCCGCTAGCCTGTGAGCCGCTAGCCTGTGAGCTTTCTGCGTCCACGTCCGCCAGTACGTCTGTTTCTTCTTCTGTTGAAGGCCTTCCTGTCCATCGAGGACGACACGGATCAGCCGGAGGAGAGCGTCTTCTACCAGGTCCAGTCTCTGTTCGGCCACCTGATGGAGAGCAAGCTGCAGTACTACATCCCAGAGAACTTCTGGAAGGTGACGCCGCTCAACTCATCATTAAATACATAAATGCACGTACACAAAATTGCACATATGAGTATTTTAGGCTTTGACTTTCACTTTTTAAGGAGAAGATTGAATTAGACCGATGTGTTATTCATCCGCATGTGTTGCAGATCTTCAAGATGTGGAACAAGGAGTTGTACGTGAGGGAGCAGCAGGATGCTTACGAGTTCTTCACCAGCCTGGTGGACCAGCTGGACGAGCATCTCAAGGTAACACCCCCCCATCATCCCCCCATCATCCCCCTCACACACACAGGCAAAGGCGCGTTTGATCCTGGTGATTTTGATTGACGAGAAGACTCTCTCCAGCAGAAAATGGGTCGGGAGCAGATCTTCAAAAACACGTTTCAGGGAATCTTCTCCGACCAGAAGATCTGTAAAGACTGTCCTCACCGGTGAGCGGGGACCTTCCACGGCATTGTTTCCCCTTCTGATGCTCATGGCTTGGAGGGGGCTGTCTGACCCTTTCCTGTTCTTCTGTTGCACGCAGGTACGAGCGAGAAGAAACCTTCATGGCGTTGAACCTCGGCGTGACGTCCTGCCAAAGCCTGGAGATCTCCCTGGACCAGTTTGTGAGGGGCGAGGTGCTGGAGGGCAGCAACGCCTACTACTGCGAGAAGTGCAAGGAGAAGGTGCGTAGCGCTTCCGCGCGCCCCGCCCCCCCCCGACCTCACGCCGACTCACGCGCCCTTTGATCCGCACAGAGAACCACGGTGAAGAGGACCTGCATCAAGTCCCTGCCCAGCGTCCTCTGCATCCACCTCATGCGCTTCGGCTTCGACTGGGAGAGCGGGCGCTCCATCAAATACGACGAGCAGATCCGGGTACGGAGTCTTTCCTCGCCGGGCGCTGCGAGGCGCCGCGACCTCTGACCTCTGCGTTGTCTGCTCAGTTCCCCTGGGTGCTGAACATGGAGCCCTACACCGTCTCCGGGATGGCCCGTCAGGACTGCAGCGGAGAGGGCGGCGAGGGGCGCGGCGAGGGGCCCTCGGGGGGCTCGCCCAGGAAGAAGGTCACCATCTCTGAGAATTACGAGCTGGTGGGGGTCGTGGTCCACAGCGGGCAGGCGCACGCCGGCCACTACTACTCCTTCATCAAGGACAGACGGTAGGGGGGCGTCCTAGGTTTGGTCACGGCATGATGATGCAAACCTGAACCCAGATGTGGGAGGGTGAGCCAGATGTGGGAGGGTGAGCCAGATGTGGGAGGGTGAGCCTGATGTGGGAGGGTGAGCCAGATGTGGGAGGGTGAGCCTGATGTGGGAGGGTGAGCCAGATGTGGGAGGGTGAGCCTGATGTGGGAGGGTGAGCCTGATGTGGGAGGGTGAGCCTGATGTGGGAGGGTGAGCCTGATGTGGGAGGGTGAGCCAGATGTGGGAGCCTGAGCCTGAAGCACCAACCTAAAAAAAAAAAACAAGCTTTGCTGTTGAAAACCTTTTTTTACCCTTTTGTTGTCCTGTTTTCCTTGTGAGTCGTTGTTGCTGTATTACGAGTTTGATGCAACATGAATATTCATGTTGCTGCTTTGGGTTCATTAACAAATCCACTAGACTGGAACAACAAAAATCCCATTAGCATTTAATACACAATTGCAACAGTGTAGTAAAAACCTTTAAAGAATATTTTTAATGGTTTGTTAGGATCGAGGCTGAGGCAGCTTTTCTGTTCCAATCACATGACCGGTGTGTAGAGCAGCACATTGGGAGGCAGCGTCATGCGTGTTAAGAGGAACCCACAGGAGCCTCCTTCAGTCTGGTGTCTCCTCGTCCTCTCCTGACGGGTTGGCTGCGGTCCAACGTGACCTCTGTCTGTCTCCCCTCGTCTCAGCGGCAGCGCTCGGGGACGTTGGTACAAGTTCAACGACAACGTGGTGGAGGAGTTCGACATGAACGACGAAACCCTGGAGTACGAGTGCTTTGGTGGAGAGTACCGCCCCAAAGTCTACGACCAATGTAAGAGACCGTCTGCGTGGATCTTATGCCGACGTGCTTTAACACATAAGAACGCTCCACTGGCCTTAAGTTAGACCAGAAGAAACAACCTTCAGTTCTTTAAAGTGACGCCAAAGTTTCACGCGTAAAGCTGCATTCTCTGTAGTGACCAGCAGGGGGCGACTCCTCCTCCTCCAACACAGCATGATGTTCATTTAGTCAATGATGGTCCATGTAGATGCACGCTGATTGACAGGTCTCTGGCAGAGACGTATGCAGCGTCTCCACATCCTCCTCGGTCCTTTATAAATTCCAAATAGCTCCTTAACGCGAAGTCTCTCTGTGCAGCCAATCCGTACCCCGACGTGCGGAGAAGGTACTGGAACGCCTACATGTTGTTCTATCAGAAGATCAGCGACCAGAACTCGCCCGTCCTGCCCAAGAAGAGCCGAGTGAGCATCATGAGGCAGGAGGCCGAGGACCTGACCCTGTGAGTGAAGCCTGCGTGAAGCCTACGTGGAGACCAGGGTCAATGAGCGCTGCTGACGACCGGACCTCTGCTCTTCACAGGTCTGCCCCCTCCTCCCCCGACGTGTCCCCCCAGTCCTCCCCCCGGCCCCCCCGGGCCAACAACGACCGCCTCACCCTCCTCACCCGCCTGGTCCGCAAGGGGGAGAAGAAGGGTCTGTTTGTGGAGAAGATGCCCGCCAGCATCTATCAGGTGAGGACGCTCCCTCTTCCCTCCCAGGCGCAGCCGTGGCGACCATGTTGTTTTCAACGCCGATGGAGCTGTGGCATAAATTAAACATTTGGGGTTTGAGCTGTAAGAAACCAGCCAGATGTTGTGATGACGTCACCACCTCGGACAAACCCGCGTTTAGTCTCTCTGGATACTTGAGACTTCCACGATCAAGTACTGATCAGAAACACGTTATTTCTTTCTTGGACGACGGAGGAAATGATTGGCTTCTGTGGCGATAAGCCCCTCCCCCTCCCGGGAACGTCCAGCCCCGTCTGAACCTTCTCGCTTTGTGTTTCCACCAGATGGTGAGAGACGAGAACCTGAAGTTCATGAAGAACCGAGACGTCTACAACAGCGACTACTTCAACTTCACGCTCTCTCTGGCCTCCGTCAACGCGGTGAGACGCGCTTCTTGTCACTGTGCAGGCTCCTAAACCTGGAACAGTCACATGGCCATTTCCAGGCCTGGAAAAGTCACGGACATGTTTTATATTTCTATGTTCATGTCATTCATTTAAGATACGTTTTAAATAATTCATATGGTTTTAAAGAGACGCAAATATTTCACCTTAGAGACCTTCTAATATCTGTTCCCATGTTCTGATTAAAATGACTGTTGTGTCCTCTAATATTCAGTGAGTGGTTTCGTTGTTGTTCCCAGACAAAGCTGAAGCATCCCGACTACCAGCCGATGGCCAAAGAGAGCCTCCGGCTGGCCGTGCACTTCCTGTTCCACACCTACCTGCACACCAAGAAGAAGCTCCGGTAGTTGCACACCAACACTTGATACAGCTTCTACTGCCAGTAAATAACTTCATTCTAAGAAGTGGACGTCGTCATATTCACGTCATATCCTCATGGACGTCTATGGGAGCAGAGGAGACTCCCCCTGGTGGCCAGTAGATAGAATGCAAGGTCTACATATGAGGAAATGGGAATGAATTCAATATCTCTTATTATCAACTATGTTTTTACTTCAGCCTGCCGTGTTTCTGCGTAAGATGATAAAATGTTGTAGTTCTGACCAGGCGTTTAACCCCCCCCCCCCCGCAGGGTGGACACGGAGGAGTGGATGGCGACGGTGGAGGTGCTGCTGTCTAAGAGCCGCGAGGCGTGTCAGTGGATGGTTCAGTACCTGGTGGGACCGGAGGGCCGCGAGATCACCAGGTCGGTCATTAAATACGAACACGTCCTCCTGAAACTGAACTATTTGTTTCTCGTGGAAAGAGCCGCCGAATGGAATCAAAGGGTCACCACAAAGTGGCCCCTGATCTGACCTCAGTACGGACTTCTCCTCCATCTTTACCCCCCAGGGTGTGCCTGCTGGAGTGCAGCGTGCGGGAGGTGCGGGTGGTGGTGGCCTCCGTCCTGGAGAAGACCCTGGAGAGCGCCCTCCACTTCGGGGACCCGGGGGTGGACGACCTGACGGACACGCTGCTCTCGCTGCTGGACAAAGACGTCCCGGAGAACGTGAAGAACTGCGCGCAGTACTTCGGCCTCTTCAGCAGCTTCGCCCAGCAGGTGAGGAACCGGGGAGGAACCTGGTCGGGGGGGCGGGGGTGGGGCTTCTGCGGTGGGCGGGGCCTGAGTGTGTGTTTCTGTGCTCAGGGGTGCGGCTCGTGTCAGCTGCTGCTGAAGCACTCTGCGTACCGCCGGATGCTCGTCTTCCTGCTGGGACCAAACCGGCAGAACAACCAGGTACCAAGTGGCCGCTGTGTTTACAATAAAGAACAAAGCCGCATTCAACCATTTTATCGCATTCATAAACGAACGCGTTAATTCTGACGCTCATCTTCCCGTTCAGAACCGGCGGTGGAGTCCGGCTCAGGCTCGTGAGTTCCTCCACCTCCACAGCGCTCTGGCCCTCATCACGCTGCACTGCGACCTCAACCCCCAGCGGACGGAGGGTGAGCGCTCTCGCATTCCTTTTTAAGTTCTCTTGGGAAGAGTCTTCGATACAATATACGCTTTGGGTTCCCCCCCG